TGATTTGGCTTTCAAATGGTTTTTGGTATTACATCCTAGTCAGGACTTGGACATTGCAAGCTTCAAATTATAGCTGAAACTGAAATACACTACATGCAATAAGCCATCCTGGCATGAATTTGTGTTGCTAAGGATATGGCATAATGCCTAGCTTGGTTTGACTTGACTAAAAAAAAAAATTCTTTGGAAAAAAGAATTCATTTTGTAAACATTTGAGAGAATATTTTATAAAAAACTACGGTGCATATTTAAATAAATTTGAATAATTTTTTATTTCAGCAATATTAAAATTTAATCACTAAAGGCTTTGAATTAAAAATGTTATTATTGTTCAAGCACATTTATAACATCAACTGGTGATTGTCACCATCCTATCCCTGTGATTGTCTAATCTCAACTGGTGATTGTCACCATCCTATCCCTGTGATTGTCTCATCTCAACTGGCGATTGTCACCATCCTATCCCTGTGATTGTTCCCTAAAACTGTTCAACTGAACCGATGCTTGCCACCATCCTATTCCCTGTCATTCTCTAACTCAACTGTTACTACAGATTAACAGTTTCAGCATATGTTTCTCATGGCTTATAGAAATTAATTAACACATTTACTATAATTGTTAGTGTTAGACAATTTTAACTTTTATTAAAAAGATGAGGCCATGTATATTCAAACCAAATATTTATGTTCATCCTCACACAAACCCCTTCTCCAACGGCCGTACAGTAAATGTTAAGTTGAAGAGATAATTTAAAGCAAAGTGCTAACACTATCCCCATCATCTAGTCCGGACATGATCGGTGGGTGCAAGTTGAAGACCTTCTATGTTTATACTTGAGTATTACCTCAAATGAAATTTTGTTTGATGTGTTGCTGTAATGCTCTCAAGCAACCTTTCAGCTCATTGGTTATTCTTATGGTCATAAGTCATTGGCCTTTAGCAGACTCATTCCTTCAGCACCCTATTTGCTGGTACAAACTTGAATAATTACATCGAGATCCCAAGTATAATTTTTATCAAACCACCATTTTTTCCATATTAATTTTTAGAAATAAATTTAAATGCCTATCTCTTCAATTATTATTATTTTTTTATTGCAAAAGTTTGATACCATTACCACAGTAAAACTTCTTCACCAAAGTAGTGATAGTTTTATATCTGCTTGCGCTTACACAGTGTGTCATTTTCTTTTTCTTTCTTTTCATATTTTGTATAGCAATTTATTTAATTTTGGAGTGTTTCTATTAATTAGGACTCTGAGACCATGTATAATGTATAACATTTGGACCTTAGAGCTGGAACTTCGTCAGCATACTTACACATTTCTATACAACTGAGACCTCAAAATATTGGAGGAAGTGGGTGCCTGCCTATTGTGCCTCTCCTGAATGCACCAAATATCTCATCTTCATTTTGTGTTGACACGACACAGCTAGAATTCAACTGTAAAAAATATTATTTGAATCCAAAGATGTCACTGTTAAAGAAGTGAGCTTAGAAAACATTAACTTGTTGAAATGCAGTAGCCACAGCCAGTAAGGGTGTATGGAACGCACACAAAATTCACCTCTTAAAATAAGTGCTGCAATTTTTTAATACAGATTAGTTTTGGTACATATCCCTGCAGTTGGGCAACCCAGTTATACAATGTAATTTGCTCAAGCTGTCTTTTTTTCATTTTGTTTCTCTGGTGCACAGGATTCAATAGTGTCAGACTTATAATTTCTCTCCAAAAAAAGCTTAAACTGTGGTTGAAAGGATGATGTGGAGCTATCAATGATTACTCTCATTTTCACCCAGAGCTGTCATTTTGGTATAAAGTATGTTTTTTTAAAGTTTTTTAAATGTTTTTTTTTAAAATTAGAAAATGATGAAGAAGAATATTGTAATAAAGGCAGCTGCTTGCTGTAATATTTTTTTTCAAATGACTACCTTCAAAAAACTTAAGTATTAAATATTCTTATGATGTCATTATATTTTATCTTATGATAATATATTCTTTGATGTGAAGAAGAATTGAGAAAGTGTTTGAATTGACATGAAATATTTGTTAACTGAATGTTGTTGTTTTTTAATGTCATTGGTAAATTTGACACTACATCCAGTAATTTTATCAAAACCAAAACACTCTAATTAAAAATAAAAAGACACCACCAATATAATTTGTATAATTTCTCAATGGATCACGCTTCACAGCCTGTTCCTATCGTGTTTTTCTTTCACTGACTACCAGGCCACTGTGACATATTGGGATAACATTTTCAGTATTTACGTGTTTTAAGATGAGGTTAAAAGTGAGAAAATGCAATTATTTGTTCCTTTTATCTCATTGTATCTCTGCTGTACTTTTATGTTTTTTCCTCATCACATAAGATTGTACATTAGCTCTATTTAAAGGTGAAGTTTCACTAAATTATTTGTATATTCTGTGTGCATGACCACTGCTGTGATCTTAGTTGCCATACCAATGAATTTATTATTTTTTAAAAAGATTCTTTATCTATTTATTACATATATATTTTTGAAACCATAAATAACAAAAATCGTTCACTTTGTTCAAAGAAAACATCTTTTGTTCATGCATCATAAACCAATGTTATCAATTAAAAAACGAATTTCAGTTGTCCTCCACTTGCTTAAACAGGCACAGTTTTCTCGTGTGGTGAGAAGGAAAACAGTTGCACAACATTAACAACCACTCAAGTTTGGTTTTTAAAGTTGCCCTGAAAAAATTGCTTTTTTTTTTGTACACTTGTAATTTCAAAATTAATTTTAATTTTTTAAAAGCAAATTTGATTATTATATATTAAGGTTTACAAAATGAAGATCTTTTTAAAAAAACAACAAAAAAAAACCATTCTTATCCTTGTAAGAAAAATCTTGGAAATAAAATTGGGCTGTTGATGGATATTTCTAGAACCTCTGAGTTCTGGGCTTTTAGTGGGAAATTAACATTCCAACAGAGTTTTTTCAATACCCAAATTTCTCTGACAAATTGCTGTGCATCAGCTCTCTATACCAGGGCTTTACAAACTGCGTGTAGCGACACAGTAGGTGTGTTGTGTGAAAATAAAATTAATTATGAAAAGTTAAGGACCAAGAGTTGCAAAACTGCAAATGGTAAATTATATTAAATTATAAGCAGACTTATTCAATCAAGATTATTTTGCTAAAACTTGTAAAAATTTATAAAGCTTATACTACTCATTAATTCTTTGTTCTAAAGGAAGATAAGCACAAAGAATTTTTGATATAATTCAAAATAAATATTGTGCACAAAATTGTCATATTTTGCCAACATTTTTGAATAATTTAAACACCAGCATGCGAGGAAAAGGAGAAAATAACAGTGGAATATTAAAATTTGTGCTAAGTGAGACAAATTAGGGATTATGAAATAGACGCCAAACAGCGAAGAGAATGACACATTTTTTGATAATAGCTAATTGTAGAACTTGTTTCATTGATCCAAGAGAAAGTTATTTACTGCCCAAATTGCTAAAAATCCAAGAAAGTCATTGGATGAGGAATCATTTTAACTGCATGCTGAATTTTTCACTTACTGAAGAAACTGAAATAAATTATTCGAATCTGTTAAATAGATGAAGAGGGTGCTTTAGCTTTTGCCTTTCATTTTTTTATGACATTTTATGTTTGTGCCCGTATGTCTTAAATGGACTAGTTTAAACCCTGGTATACTGAAAAAGTTATGAGATGATGAATGTCTAAAAAGTGTGTCCCTAAAATGAATAGTTTGGAAAGCACTGCTCCATGCCTACGGCCTAAGCAGTATGATTTGACCTAAAGAGTATATTTTTTTAATACTAATTTTACAAGATAAAATTTACACTTTTATTTAGCACTTTGCCCCAAAGTAAAAAAAAAAAATGTGTACAGCAACATACTATTCATAGGTCCAAGTGGCAGGTCATTTTCAACATTTTTATTCACAGCTTTCTTGTGTAGAAATCGTTTTTTTTTTTTAGCCTGGAAAACGCTTTGTCATGATCTCTGTACCCAGTTACCCCAACCACATCACAACGATTTTCAAATATCGATATCCTATATTGATAGCGTGTGACCACTCTAATATTCCAAAAGCTTACAATTTTATTCAGTCAGTGATTGCCCACATTTGTTTCTGACATTACTTCAAGGCCAGCTCTTATAGAGTTCATTGCCTCTTGCATACAACTTACAGCAATTATTTCTTTAAAAAACTGTTGCACTGATTGTTGTAGAGTAATTTATTTTGCTACTTAAAACCTTTTTATTTTATACACAAAATGCTTAAGTTGTAAATTTTATGTTATTTTAAATAAATTTTATTGCATGAATTTTAAGGCAATAAAATTAAAGTCACAAAATGTTTGTACAAGTTTGTTAACACAATGTCATTTTAACATCAATCACACATGACATCAGCACCACCAGGCAATATTATGGTGGTAACATATTAAAATGTTGCAAATGTACCACCAGCCAAACATGAGATCTTGTACTACAAATCCCATATCATATAGCATCGGTACCATGATCACATACAGCATCTGTCACGTACAGCATCTGTACCACTAATCATTTAAAGCACATCTCCTCATGAGCCATCAAGTAAGGGAATAAACATAAATTAATGACTGCTGTAGCATAGCAAGTTTTAATAAAGGTTTAAAAAATGGGAAAACAAAATAGCATCGTGATTCCATATAGACCAGGCCTGCATAACATACAGCCCGCCAGCACTACTTTGCAGCCCGCGAAGTAACGAAATGTTCTTCATTGTTATTATTTTCTTAATAGCTTCCCCCCCACTGTCCTATTTTCTTTTGGCCCGCACAAATTTTTCATAAACTATTACGCCCTCCTTCCATTTTGAGTTGTGCAGGCCTGCTATAGACCATAGTTCACATGTACAATCAAGTCAAATCTAACAAGTATTTGGATAACTTAAACCAGAGTTTTTCAAAATTCAAAAGTGAATCTGACAGGCCCCCCCCCCCCTACTTGTGAGCTAAGGAACGAATTTAACACTTTAAAAAAAAAAGTTTTTTTCTTTCTTAAATTTCAAAGAATGCACTTTAGTATTACTCATATGTTAAAAGGCAGCTTTAGAATATATCATTAAATAATATAAGGAAACAATCCATGAATAAAGAGATGAATAGCCCCCATGGTTTGCTGAGCTGTTATTGCACAAAATAGAATCACCGGTAATCTCCGATGTTAAACTTAAAGTTAAACAAAATAAATTGTTTTGAGTAGATTCACAGAGCGTGAAGTATTTAGATTTCATAATTTTATCAACAGACCCAAAAGCCTGTACCATTTCTACCGGTAGCTATGAATAGAAACCCTTCATGACTCTTGCATATTCAAATTTTTACAATCTTAGGAACCGAAAAATGAAAAATCTTTTATTACTCCAGGAATATTTTAACATCAAATTTCTTATCTGCACTGTTTTTTTTAAAAATTGACTTATGATTTTTTTATTTAAAATCATGTGGTTTCTCCGATTCATGATGTGAAAATTGGATAAATCAATTCCTCAAACTTAATCATGGAAGCTAAAAAGAAAACGTAAATTTTTGATTAATCTGCTTTGTAAATTCGTAAGACTAATTTTTTATGAAAAACAAGAATTCATGCCCTGGCATGCACAGAGCAGGGGTAGACAAAACCATAAGCAATTCTGCAGCCAAAACCTCAATACCTCATTGCAAATATGGGTTGTAAAACCATAAATCAAACTAAGATAAAACTACACACTCTTTAATTTCTTTTAATGAGACCTTAGTACATCTCATCAACAAATAAATACATGATTGAATTAAAAGCAATTAATATTTTTAGTTTATAATCAGTCAGATTTTTTTTAACCTTATGAAATTGTATTAAAGGGGTTTACCACCAAAATACCAATAATCGTAACATTCTGTTGGTTAAAGTCCTTTGTTGGAGGCCCTTTAATTGAATCATCAGGTCAGTTAAGTTTAGTTCTTTCAATCCATGCTTGGATATCAGTTTATGATTTTCAACATTTCATTGAGCTGAAACCTCATTTGAGATCCTGAGGTTGACACAAGAATTGTTGGTGCAGAGCTTTCCTTGAGATTGGAAATCATTCTTTAAGAGTCTGTGTCTTTTCCAGCAGCTTATTTAATGGAAGACTTTCACCATCTACTTTTAAAATGTACCACTCACTCGGCTCGTCTTCAGTATTGCCTTCTTCAATTTAAAGGTGAATTGAATATGAGAAGGAAGAACTTAAATTTAACCATCACCATTATTCGTGCAATGGGATAAAAAAATTTAATTGCAAGTTTTATTATTCTGATTTATTGATACACCTGATTCAGAAAATACATAAACAACTTTATAGGTATTTTTTGAAAGATAGAAAATTCTATACAGCTTTGAGTTTTGAGGCACCATGGCATCCAGATTTGTCTACCCCTGGTACAGAGTATTGTTCATAACTGAGTTTTTAAAAAAAAATCACTGAATAGAAGGAACAGGCATGAGGGCATCACTCCCAAACAAAGTTTCAAACTGTTTGACATACTGCTCACAGTGTTCTCCTGTGGAAATATACACATACATCACTGTGTCATGTATCAAGACAGGACAAAATAGAAACTACTTAAAAATGTCCAATGTATTCATTAATCACAAATTCCAGAACAATGTAAAATATCATTAAGTCACTTTCAGCAATTTAGACTGACTACAATTCAAACAAAACTACTTAAGATAAAATTATGGCTGGATGGCACAGTTTGTAAGACATGGGTAAAGTATCCTAAACTATTGATACAGTTTTACTACAAGCAACATATCAAATGAGTAAAAATAATTATTCAGTCACTACAGACTAGAATGCTATAATCTCTTTACAGTGCACCAAGTATGGGAAAATCACTAAAGACCAGGACAATGTGTAAGATATAATCACCATTGCATAGATATTTGATTTTACATGCCAGGCATGTGATAATAAGTAGAGATCAAATTTGTGTTTTAAGTAGCTTGTTCAGAATAAGAGAAATGAGCATTTAAACCTTTTAATTTACCTGTCTGAAACCTGGGATTGGACCGCAACCTCTGGTTTCTTTGTTCAAAGAATTTAAAAACTGTATAAAATATCATGTTGTCAGATGTATTGAGAGCTGCCTCTAAAAACTTTCTTGAAGACACACCGTCAACATTGCCCACACTACGAATAAATCTCCAATAGAAAGAAACAAAAACCGTAAGTACTTTGAATAACCAAATAATTGAAACAAAACAAAGACCTCTTTTTGTTTTAAAATGTTTTTCAACCACTGAATGAGAGTAGCATTTATATGGTACTAGATAGGGGCAAATTAGAATAGTTTAACATTATTTTTAACATTGAGGCAGAAAATCTTTTAGAAAATAATGTAGAGGAATTAACTGCTTATCTGAATAAAAGAAAAATTTATAATTATTACCTTAGTGCAGGTAGAAGTTGTTGTTTTGATAGTAGAACTTCAATAATCTCCTCATTGGCTGTCTGAATCCTCTGAAAAACAATATATTATTATTAAAGTCCTAATGGACTCCCAACATCCTATATGAACATAAAGTATATAAATAGCTCTCTCCTCAACAAATAATCATTTCCTTGATTATTTAATCACTTGACCAGATCATCTAGTTATACAAACAAGCTGCAAAAAATGTAAGTAAATTTGTGACTTCCCAATGCTTTATGTTGAAATTTAATGATAAAACTACATTGAGCTACATTGTTATTATTAAAATTTTCAAACACATAAGTTTTGATTTTTAATTTATAATTATCTATCTATTTTGTATTGTCTGCTGAAGAAGGCATCAAGCCCACATGTCCTTTTAATTATCCAATCTTTTCTTTTCAAGCCTATTTATTAAAGTCACACTGCTTGAATGCAGTCCCTCATATATTATCCTGTTAATATCTTACATGCTCTAAGTTATTTTCATCTACCCCATAGTATAATATATATGATAGTACAAACCTTTAGCATATCAAGTGCCAGCTGATGAGCAGGGGGATAAACTGTTTCAAGGGAGAGCATCAAGCAAGCCTAGAAAATAAATGTAACAATAATATCAACACAACAGGGAAAATTTAAGATAGAAACGTGACGTTCAGGTCTTGACAATATTAAATGTTTTCAATTACTAGGTGATAGAGCAGATTTATTAATTTCAAACATGATTCAATAAGCATAGCGAACGGTAACACAACTTACCAAAGGCTTAGAATCACTGAGAACATGGTATTGTAGGAATTGATGAAGTTGGTAGAAACAGTTGTTGTGGACTAGAATGTTAATGATCAGCTCATAAAGGTAGTGCTATTGAAGGTAACCAAAAAAAAAAGCACAAGAGAAATAATCAATAGATCATTATAATTACAAAATAAAAACACATAATTTAATTAATGATGAGAGACTTGACAAATTAACAGTGAACAAGCTAGTTAAAAATAAACTTTTGTACTCACCTGAACAGGAATACCAAATTGATTGAGAGACCTGATGTACTCAATCAGCACAGCCACCATGAACTTGTATTTGATATCCTGGAACCCACATTTTTGGCAGATACAGTAGAGTTTAGATAATAGAGATATTTCTAAATTAGATTATTATACTATGCCTTTAGTCAAACACCTTTGGATTTTTTAGCAACTGAGTGCTAGTAATGTGTAAAACCAATTAGCTCAGAATAGCTGCATAAAATTTATCAGAAATATTTTCAATGAAGTACATGCATCTTTTAACGATCTGTGAGTTTCTTTTTTTAAATTGAAAATGCAATACAACGTCCCTCGTTTATCGCGATTAATCAGTAAAGTGAATTTCCTTAAAGTAGGATTCTTTATTTATAAATGTAAAATATTTTCATTGTTACAGCATATAAAACCTATTTAGAACCCTCTAAATACAGTTTTTAACATTATTAGACTCTCTGGGGGTGCTCCAATACAAAGGCCTACAGTCCATACATACAGTAATTTTAATTGTAATAGAGGGCTGTATAATTGACTCAGAAAACCAAACACGCACTCTATCATTTTCACTATCTTGATCAACCTTTTAATGAATGCGCTATATTATATTTTTTTTTAAAAAGCGATAGAGTGAAGCCACCATAGTCAAAGCGCGACGTGGCAAGGGACCACTGTAGTTCATGAACAGATTATAATATAATTATATAAATCCCCTGTTGTCAGCTAAATTACCACAAAAAAAAAGAAAATTATGTTAAAATACAGTTTTTAACATTATTAGACTTTTAATATGTGTGTGAATATACATTGCTGTTCTTTTTTTCATAAATGTATTTTATTTTAATGTCATAATTATGTCTCTTTTGATAAAATTTTTATGTACAGCGCGGTGAGCCCAGCCCTAGGCTGGGATACCGCGCTATATAAGACGTCTTATTATTATTATTATTAAAATACTTGTACAGATTATGATGATCACCTTGTATTCCTCAAATATAGAGAACACGTGTGTAAACATGTCAGGCTGTTCTATCACCACTTTTTTAGCTGTAACCCCAGCCATGGTCAGCTCACCCGCCTGAAACACAGCAACACATAGCTACAGTCAACATGGTAACGCCTTACGCAACTTTAGTCTGTTTTAAATGCAAGGCAGAATCAAATTTGGCGGACGTCAACAATATATTTTCAGGCAAAGTCTTCTAAAATAATTTGAATAAAGCTGAAACGAATAGAATACCAAAGCAAATCAATTGAGCCTTCAAAATAGCACTGAAATGTAGCAGCTGTAATGCTAATGGTAATAAAATGTGAATGATGACAAGAAATGAGTGTAATTATACGTAACTTTTAGGTAGGACACATGTAAATATATGTCATTTAAATTTAATTTATACTTATTTAAATGTTTTGCTTTTTGTACTGATGAAGGCATTTGCCGAAACGTTTACATTTGTATTTTGTAAAATCGTCATTAAAGCTGAACATATATTGTTTTATTTGCAAAAATTGTGTCTAACTAATCTACTTTAAAGCTTTATCACAGTCCAAAACTCTGATAATTAGCATGAGTTAAAGTTGTTTTGCTGAAGGGCACCTATTTACAGTAAGCCTAGTGTGTAATAAATAAAAATGCTGATTGAGTTTCTTTTTAAAAAAAAAAAAAAAATTGTGTCGTAGGATTTTTTTTATGCTTTTGCATACGAGCAATATATGTAAAGATATCATAAACAAAATGTTAATTTTTCTTACAGATAATTGGGCCTCCATCTCCAGATGTTGCTTGTATGTGACATTGAGCAGGTCGTACACCTTGGCCAGGTGCTGTAAACTGGCTTGTTTACCTGGTACCAACATCTGGGCGCAGACATTTAGAATCACTGGTTTGGAATCAGAGCGGTTGAGGAGAAACTGAATTAGTCGATCCTGGAAAAGTAACAATATTTTTTTTATCTCTGAAAATTATTAAGTAGTAAATTATTTTGTTTTGAGAAAGAGAAAAACAGATAATTTTATGTCAGCAAACGGTGAATGAAATTAACTTGGATAAACTAAATGTGTGATTTGTCTACCTTGTCTGGGATCATGGTGACCAGGGGGTTAAGATTTATCTGTAATGTCCATAAACAACCTGAAATTTTATTTTATTTAAAATTTTTAGGTTAGGTATAAAAGGAAACTTGCAAAATATACGTTGATGAAGGATTCAATAATGCCATGGAGATTTGGCCTTCACCAGTCAATGTTAACCGCAATGTTTGTGCCATTAGATTATGAAGCAATGTAATCTAATAAAAAATAAAAATAGTATAATCTAATAAATATAGAATAGGTTCAAATCTAATCTCAAACAATTATTCCTTTCCAATGTCAATAAAAGAAAAAAAAATGGAAGCACATTATTGTTAATTTACACCCCCAAAATTTTTGTATCACATAAATAAAAAGCCAGATATAACAAACCCCCCCCACCCCACCAAAAAAAAAAAAAATCCGCTAGAGCACAGCATCAATAGAAATATGAATGTTGAAGATAAAAAAAAAAAAAAGAAAAGAGAGACACACAAAGAATATGTAAACAGATCATTCAGACTTGTTATAGATATTGCTGAGTAACATCTACTTACCCAGTTTGGCATCTATAACAATGTCAGGCTGAAAGACAATCCAGTTGGCAGAATCTTCAATTTCTTAAGGAAAAATAATGCCCATGCACTAGTTTTGATATCATTCAGTATAAATAAACCAACATTGTAAGTGCGTCATGTCCTATAGATATGTGATATGTCCTATAGATATGTGACACACAAACATCTAGGCTAGCTAGAACAAATTTATTTGAAAGGATACAAAGCTCACAGTTGTACTCTGTTTTATCTGTGCCAGCTTGCATATTGACAGCTGAAAATTTATTTTTACAAATTTATGGTCTACTGATAATATCAGAGAGTATGTTAACATTTCATTTGAGAAAGTATAAACAAATAACAGTCCTTGCATGTTAAAATAAGCACTGAAGTGCTGCGCTTCTTCTAATAAAAAAGTATACACCACACAGCTTTATTTAGAAGAGCTGAACATGGGAATTCAGATTTAATAATATCAGCTGTTAATCTTCCTATGGATCTAAAAAGTTTTGAATGTCACTAAGAAGTAACCAACCAATACTGCATTTAACTTACAGGGCAAAAGAAGTTTAAAAGGTTTGATACCAAGAGGCGACAACACAGGAAAGTGGTACATCACGTAACCATCTGACTTGCCCTCCAAACGGATGTCAAATATGACTGAAGTCTGAAAATAAAGCAAGACAAGAGCTAAAAATCATTACTGTGTTTTGACACAAAATTTTAAAAACATCTTTATGTCAAGTGGTTTCTTAAAAAGGGTCATCTACATCTTAAGAGAAAAATATCAATTTTAAATAAACATAATATGAAACAATAATCTAATTTTAAAATACCTTCAAGCATTTCAAGATTTTCACTTCTTTTTCAGGGTCGTGGTACATTTGTGATGTCAGTTATGTGAAACATTGTGAACTCACTAAATAACATGGGTTAAGAAGACCCAATTGTTAGATTTACCTTGGAAGCCTGATGATGCACCATTATTAAATTGTCCACAACATTAATGGCAAAGCGTCCACTCATGTCCAGTCTCAAAACATCAGTCTTTCTGGCAGGACCTTCTCTGTTAGTAGATAAAAAATAATCAAGTAACCAAATTTAAAGAAACAGTATATGTGATACGAATGGATTGCAAGTGATGCTCTAGCATGTAAAATATATATTAACAATAATGCTTATAGATAATTGTGACTTAAAAAATAGGAAATTTGTTTGTACTCCTGCATAATACACAGCCTCCATTTTAGCAGCTTCAATTGAGTGAAATTGTGCATGTTAAACATGAGATTTAAGGTTAATCCATTTTCCTATCTGAAATAGATCTTCAAAATGTATCATATAACCAAAACGGACCTACTTTTGTAATTGGTAGAGCACTATTTCTGCTCCAAAAGATGTGCTTTGCGGATGTCTCAGCACAACTATATACAAGTGATCATAACTGGTGAGGACAAAAAATACAACTTCAACAATCATCAAATGACAAACATTGAGTGACCCAGTGATCAAATTCAGCAAAAAATATAACATAAGTGAAAATATGCATTCCGTAAAGTGTAGCTAACATTTCGTTGATGGCTCAACAATTGCCCATAATAAACTATCAAGAAAAGATATATATATCTATCACATCCACCAACCTAGTCAATCTAGACAACAGCCTAATCTATTCAGGTTGCAACACATCAACATCAAGGTGGGTGTAAGTGTAAGCCTTAGTTAACTTACAGCCAGCTGCCATAGTTTCTGGTTATACCTTACTGATGTCAAGACAACAGCTTGCTTGCTATAATTAGCAAATTTTAAGGTGCTCAAATCTAAAATATTCAAGGTTTTGTGCTTTCACATTTTTTTTTATAGATGAAAAATGTTGGATGAAAGAAAGGATTAGTTCAGTCAAACAGAAACTGTTCCTTTAAAGATAATAAATGGATTCCAATGAAACTTAAGACCTGTTCATCGCTCAATGCTGTGCACTCACATGGTAGCCATGATGACGTCCCGGTCCAGCAAAGTTAACTTTTGTGGTCTTGGAGTGACTGGGAGGTCCGCTTCAAATTTGGGCAGCCTAGTTATGACCCCTGGGCTCTGGTCAAATAAAAAAAGAAATTATCAAAACTGTGAAAAGCTCATTATAATGAACTACACCATAATGGAAGTTGTGTTGAAATTTAAAGTCCTTATGAACAGTCAAGTAGTAGGTTGTCCATCTACACAGCTTGAATTTGTTTGAAAAATGTTAAATTTAAATTCAACTATGCATGCTACACATTTGATCAGTTAGCCTTTAAAAAGCCCAAATCCAATTACAAGGTACTATCAACTACTTTCTCACAAGGTACTATCAACTACTTTCTCTCATGGCACTATCAACTACTTTCTCTCATGGCACCATCAACTACTTTCTCACAAGGTACTATCAACTACTTTCTCACATGGTACTATCAAGTACTTTCTCACATGGTACTATCAACTACTTGCTCACAAGGTACAATCAACTACTTGCTCACAAGGTACTATCTAACATGATAGTATCCTCTTGATTTAAAAACAATATCTTTAAAAAAAATTACCTTAAATTGGAATGGATGTAATGTGTTCCCAAGTGTTCCAGATGACACTAGCAATAAACTGCTGGGAGCCTTCAGTGAAAAATACAATAAATATTTAGTTCATTTAACATTCCTGAAAAAACAAAAAATCATTAAAAATGTTCAATTATAACAATGACAAAATATGCAACTTAGCTGATACTTAATAAATAGCAGCATTAAAATACACAGATGCCGTTAGTATTTTTTTGTCTGAGGCATGCAAGACTAATTTCAAAGGTTACATAATATTTTTAATTTTTAAGTACATATTGTGTTGATAGTATCTTGTACAATGAGTAGAATCGTATGAAAAGTAAAAAGTTGAAAAGTTGCCAATAACAATATTTAAACAGACAACATCCAACGTACCAGCCAAACATACCAGTTGACCTGTAGACTTATGGACTTTAAATTCTTTAGTGTTCTCTTTTCAGGTATCACCTGGTATGAAGATTAAAACAATAATTTTTACAATCCATTTAGTAGCTTTCTTGCTATCCAGCAACAAGAGATCCTGGCCTCTACAGGGCTGTTAGTGGACTAGTAACTGGGCATGCATGTGTACCCGGTGAAGCTAAGAGGATTATTATGCAATATGTCTGACTTCCAAGACAAAGGTAAGAGTTGCTTCAGCTTCTCTCTCTGGGAGTGTTTAAAGCAAATAGAGTCTGGTCCTTGTCCAACAGTATGGCAAGTGCATACAATAATGATCAACTAAGCAAGGGATTTTTGAACCCCCCCCCCCTAAGCAGGTTGGTGACCTCTGACCCTTAGAGTAGCTTTAGCGTGTAAGTTCTTTACCATATCAAATATTTACAATAAACCTAGGAACACGTTGTGCTTACACTTGTAAAGCACAACATGTAAAGCACACCCAATTTCAAAAAAATCCTTATAGCTGGAGATTTTAATGCCCCTATGGGGATATAGGCTACCCAGAAAGAAATGCCTAAGGGCGATATTTAGAGGAGGTAAAACTCACTACTAAAAACAGCATCCCAATGCTGCTCCATACAGGCAACAGTTCTCTGTCCTGACTGGATCTCAATCTAGTTTCAGCAGAACTAGGCAGCAAAGTGAGGTTCGAAGTGCTCCCTGAGATTGGTAGTGACCATTGACCAATACTCATTACAATTAATTTAGGGTTAGAAAAGGAAAGGTTTGCCAAGAGACACTGGCTATTTGGCAATGCCAAATGGACCTTATTCTGTGACGGAATAGAAAACACGATCGCGCAATCTGCTGGAATCCCAGATGACTCTGCGAATATCAATCAACTTCATGAGTGCTATGTTAAGTGTGGCAGAAAAGACCATACCAAAGACATGTGGGAACCGCAATTTCCGACCTTTCTCGACTAAAAAGTTGCCAGAACTCATCTATGAAAGGAAAAAAGCCTGGCCAAAGCTGGAAGACTGAAGCAGCTTGTGCTGACTACAACAGACTGGTGGCTGAGGTCCGGGACGCTGTCAACACGGCAAAGAAAGAAAAATGGGTGGGGACTCGTGGAAAAACTCAGCCTAATAGACAGGAAAAAGGTTTGGCGATTGATGGATTCCTTCCCTGCCATGTGGAAAATGAAAAACCGAGGACCACAGATGCTTAAAATACAGAGGACTTTAACGGGCATTTCGCTAAGGTAAGTCTTAAACAGAGAGAGAGACCAAAGAAAGCCAAAAGCTTAACTGGCTCAGGAAACATGGAGGAAACGCCAACAGTGGGGACCTCATGCTGAGTTCTTCACTTCACCCTTGCTGAGGTCTTCACTTCACCCTTTACTCTGGTTGAACTGCAAAAAGCAATCAACAAGTGCAAAGTTACCAAGGCACCTGGACAGGATGAGATCTGTAATGAAATGATAAAACCTTGGCACCACAGCCAGGACAAAGCTAATGAGCATCATCAACAGATCATGGGCCACGGGAGCCCCGTCACGAGCTTGGCTATGTGCTGCAATCGTTCCCTTTCCCAAAGAGGGGAAAAATAATGATCACCCAAGCAGCTACCATCTGATATCCCTAACATCATGTTTAGGGAAGGTAGCTGAGAGAATGGTAAATGGGAGACTTTATTGGTACCTGCAAATTATTGACTGTCAAAACACAAACCAGACGGGCTTTCGAAAGGGAAACCAGCCTATAGACAAGATGCTCCGTCTTCTCCAGACCATAACCGATGGTCTACTGAAAATAGTCTTATACCTCCAACGGGCCTATTGTTAAAATTACAAGGCTTTGGCGTAGCTGTGAGTGAATATGTGCAGGTGGATCGTATGTTTTCTGACAAACCTCACAATCAAAACAAAGTTTGGCTGCAAAAACTCAAGCAAGTGAACTTTGGAACGGGGACTACTGCTTGGGTCAGCACTTAATTGCAGACTCTTCCTCTCCTATATCAATGACTTGCCCAATATATTATCAACAAATGCAGCGATGTATGTGGACGATTTGGTATCTGGAGTACCAGTAAAAACGCTAACCAACCCCAAGAGCTACTACAGCATGACCTGTCGGCTATCAGTAGGTACATGCAGCGGTGGCAAATGGAAATCAACACAGAGAAGACGGTCTATTCACTATTTACAAACAGTCGTACCATTCTTAAACATGGCATCGAGCTTTAGGTGAACAACATAGCGCTCAAGTAAGTAACCAGTCTACCTGTGAGTCAAAGTACATCAAAAGGAACACATGCATAATTTCGTGCAAGACTTTAATTCCCTGGCGATTGCCAGCTTGATGACCAAGCTCAGCCTGGTGAAAAAGCATGAAGGGGGGGGGGGGGCGGGATCAGCCACCAGAGCCCTGTGTTCCTGAGTAGTGTAAGGTGAGTGATGGATTACAGCATGGCCGTCCAGTCTGCATTGCAAAAATTGGGCCAAATCCAGAATCAGGCATCTGTGGTGCATTAAAACCACACCCACAGCTGCTGTGGAAGTCACAGCCAACATAGAGCCACTTGATATCAAAAGGGGCAAGACGATATTAATCATTGTAGAACTGTATAGGAGGTTAAACGAAAAGAAAAAAAAACTGCTTTAAAATGCAGAATAACTGGGTAGCGGGGAGTTGGCTATAAAGATCTTCTTCTACACACCAAGTTGCAGAATAACTGGGTAGCCGGGAGTTGGGTATAAAGATCTTCTTCTACACACCAAGTTGCAGAATAACTGGGTAGCCGGGAGTTGGGTATAAAGATCTTCTTCTACACACCAAGTTGCACAACTGGAAAGTACAGTCAAACTCTCCAAAAATAGAGAAAGTCTGACCCATACTCCATTCGTTCCGCCCTATCTAGAACCTACCCGTCCCAATACATGTTGGGCTCTGAACAACACAGTAGTGATGAAACGCAGCCCTGCACTTGTACAGAGAGCGGCTGCCCTTAATGGATTGGCCAACATGACAGAAAGAAATGTGGGGTATGGTGCGCTCATCCTATACCCAGTTGGAGGGCCACCAAATGAGAGGCTTTCATGGCCCTGTGGGATTGCGGCATTGAATTTCAAGTTCTTGAATAAGAAAGCATGTAACACTTGGTTGATGCCATCCAAGAAGATTGAGAAGATCGGAGGCAAGGTAATGGTGCAATGGATACCAAGCCATGTAAAAGTTAGAGGCAATGAAAAAGCAGACACCCTGGCAGAAAAACCAATCACTTATCTGAGTTTCAAAAATTGACTAGCAGACCACTTTCGAACAAAGTGGTACAGACAAATGGCAGACAGCACGAAGGCCAAAGGTGTATTCGCTTTCATGCCACTTCCGAGCAGACACAACCCCTAATGGAAGTTTGGTCGCTGACACCAGAGTCTGGTGACCCAAATGAAAACCAAGCACTACCATACTAACTCATATTTTAACAGGCTAGACAAAAACAGGGACCAGAAATGCTGGCACTGCACGCTGATCCTGGAGACACTAGCTCATTTGTAGACTGATTGCCCTGCACTGGATGTTGTGGGGGAGGCTAGGGCGATGGGAGAGTCCTACATTAAGACGATGATGTTATATTGCAAAACCCAGCAATTGGTGTTGGTTGCGAATGTTCTAGCCGGGGCTTTAAGAGCTTAAGCTCAAGCTTCAACCAGAATATGTATGCTAGTTATTAGTTTTCTTACAAAAAAAAAAAAGAATTAAAAAAAAAAAATGTCAACTGGATGGATGGTCACTACTAAATTTCATATAATTTTTAGCTTCGTTTCCAATGGGTCAAGATTTATCAATTAAACCGCTAAAGGATAATTTTCTTTTAGATCTTTAGATCAAGAAACCTGATTTTCTCGAAATCTAGAAATAATAGTTTTAGTCTTCAATTAATTAGAAACTAATAATTTTAAGCACAACAAAAATAATGGACATTGCTAATAACAAACCTGATAGTGCTCCAGTCCTCCAGTGGTTATAAATATTATTTCATTGTACGAACTCCACACAAAACCTCGAATGATTGTAGTTTTACCCTGAAAACAAAATGTATCTTACTTTTGAAATAAAAAGATGCATCCATAGGATTTGTCTGCTTGTAAAATATTTGTAATATATATTACATCCAGCAGAGTGTTCCAAGTTGCTGATGATTGAGTATTGATTGGAGCTTGGGTCAATGCCCATCTTTGGCAATATGGAATTTAATTTTTTTTTAAATTTTAAATTCTGGGCTGGGCTTTAACTCATAAAATGACTTTACAAATGTTAGTGTTAGTCATTTGGTTTACTGACTTTTCCAATCAGCTGCTCAAATTGATTTTAAAACTTTTTGGTGAAAAGTATAACATACTGAAGAATCAAATAATGACATGACTTACAATTACAACATGAAAAAGGATCAATTAAAAACAGGAATATCTCATCTTACAGTTAGTACAGATAGAGCTTACTTTGCAGGCTTGTGAATATTCCTGTGGATCAGTGCTGAAGTCTTCTTGAAAGTTGAGAAATTCCTGATCAAGGTTACAATATGTTTTAATACGGTACAGTTTGGTTTAATTTAGTCTATTTGACTTTAGAATTACAAAAATATGGAATGTCAATTATTAGAATAAAAGTAATAGCAATAAATTTAAATTGTTTTTTTTACAAAAATTAAATTTCATTTTAATTAGCATCAAGAAAGTCTTACAACTGTTTTAGTGGAGCGCTGTGCTGCCAAAATTTTTTTATCTGGAGAAAACTTGATGGACACAATGTCCCCTCGATCTTCCATTCTGTTTTAAAATATTGAAATACAAGTATTAATAGTTGTATTTGCATAAAAAATTATTAAATATTGATAACAATATAACCATTACAAAATTATCAGACAAACTTGATTTAGGATCACAATAATTACCTAAATGGGGCCATTGGTCTTTCATCAGGTCCTTTCATAACTACACCCATGGCACCCCCTGATCTAACAGCAAACACCTAAGGGAAACAATACCCATTATAAATTATTAAAAAGTATAAGGAATAAAATTAGGTAAGTTATAAATATCTTAGCAGCATTTAGTGTTTTTATAACTCTACAAACAAAAGTAATTTGTAAACTGATTTTTGAGTTAAATATAATTATAAATCACAACATAAAAAAGCTGTTTCACAATCACTGATTCTTAAAAAATGCCATGGACTGTGGTGTAAATTAAAATGTTGTGAATATTTGACAATTAGAGTAATCTACATTCATTACTGCTAATATTTGCAAAAAATTTACCTGTTTATTTGCATCATCAAAGAATACATTGTTTGCCTTACTAACTGGTTCAAAACGTGTAGGATTTTTACACAGAACAATATAATAGTTATCATCATCCATGCTGTACTAGATAAACTAGATCCACATTTAAATAATGCCTGTGAAAGAGTTTCAGGAAACATATATTTACCATTATCAAATGGGATATCACTAACATGAATTATTTAAAAATTTTTGTGTAATCTGCAGTAAAGAATAAACTTAACAAAAATACTTTAGCAAATTAAGTTTATATTATATCAATTTGGATAATATACACCTTGAATTAATTTATTTCCCCTTATTGGAGAGGGTGTGATTAGCCCTAAGCATACTCTGTTATACACAAAGGTCATTGGGTGAAATACTGTAAATGTTTTTGGAACAGAGATATCAAGTACAATTTATTAACAGCAATTGTGAGAATTTCTCAAGCAGTAACCTCAGTGACCTAAAGTCTTTCATTATATTTTGCATACAAAATATTAAATGGATTTAAACATAAAAATTTAATTATCAGTTGGGGCATATTCTACTGGGGAATTCTTAGTTGGCGGTTGTGTTGATCTAATGGCAACAATTAGAATCAGGAAGTGCTTGATCTAATCTGATCTTGTTTTAGGGGCCATCTAGTTCTAGGAAAGGGGTGAGATCAAGAATTTGTGATGAGGATATCTAACGTTTTTGACTGTGGGGGGACGGGTTACAAATCTACCAAACTAGTGTGGCATCATTTATGGATGGCCCCTTCCATTTTTGTTGAAGCCTTAAACAAAATTGAGCACTTCTTATAACTCTTTATAATCTCAGTTTTCAGTAACACTAACACAAATCTTCTAAAAAAGTTCTGTTGGCAACAGTATACTTAGTTTTACTCTTGTTTTAGATTAAGTTATGGGTTAGGCCAGTGGTCGGCAAACTCATTAGTTAAAAGAGCCAAAAATCAGCAACAGGACAATTAAAATTTTATTGAAAGCCAAATTTCTTTTCAAGAACCTGTCAAGAACCATGTTTTTCAGAGTCTAAACCAATTTTTGGCAGAGTGGCTGAGGAGCAGCCAGGTCATTAAAGAGCCGTGATTTGCTGACCACTGGGTTAGGCAGTTTAAGCAATATTACATTGTTACTTAGAAGCCTTATTCTACACTAGTCTTTGTCTTTAGCCTTATTTATTAGGCTAACCTTGCTACGTCTCCTAGTATAGAATTTTAACTGGCATTGGGTTTTTACTACCTACTTACCTAATTACTTATTTATAACTAAATATAATATAGTGATAATGTTCATCTGTTGAAATTTACCATGAATATTTTAATCATCATATTCATGCTAGTTCTGAATTTGGCTGTGGGTGCGCAGATGGCTGCCAAGACAGATTCAGGTACAAAATGTTCTTTATTAAGTCTAGTACTTTATTTATTACTACTTATCCTGATTCTGAATGACTACGTTGCTGCATCCATGATCTGGCATATGTGCAGCGGTTTGGGAAACGATGCGGCTATCCTAACGGCTCCTAGTGGGTGCCAGGGCAGCCTTGAAACTCTCGATTCATGTCGAGTCCATGGCGGCATTGTCCTGTTGTTCCAAGCAATTATTGTTCGTGGGAAGAATGACTGTTTATATTGAACTGTGTTACACTGAGGCACAGTGAAGCATTTAAAATTGTTCCGGATGTAACTGCTCATGGAGTTATCAGAGGTGAAGTCAGTGTTTATTGAGCATTTTGCTCTAATTAAGCGACCTGGCTTTTGCTGGGTTAGATACGTGTTAGCTGGAATGGCCGGCACTAGCTCCGTGACCACTTTATAGAGAATTGTTAGACGAAGCTTTTCTCGTCTCTCTTTGAGGGAGGGGATGTCAAATCTTTTTAAGAGGTCAGTGACGAAGCCAGGAGTGGTGAATTTTTAGTCACTTGCGATGAAGCGCAGCGCGTTGCGTTGTATTCGCTCCATTTCGTCCACATCTTGCTTTAGGTATGGGTCCCAGATTATCGCACCATATTCTAGTAGCGGACGGACGAGTGCGAGATAGGCATTTCGTTTGCAGGATGTTGGGCAGTGGCGCAGATTTCTTCGAATGAAACCAAGTGTGGAGTTTTAGATTATTAGAGAAAAGAACTCCAAGGTATGGATTATTTGACACTTGTTGGAGAATGGTCTTGTTTAGAGAGTACATATAGGTTGATGTTTTTTTCTTGAGATGCTCATTGAATAGCATTTGGTTTCGTTAAATTTCATGCCCCATTAGTCCGCCCATTTCATAAGGCTCTTCAAATCTGCTTGTAGTTGGATGTGATCCTCATAGCTATTTATCTCTCTGTAGACAAAAGAGTCATCTGCAAACAGCCTCACTTGAGATTTTACAGTATCAGGGAGGTCATTTATATGACAGAGAAAGAGAAGTGGGGCCCAGCATTGTACCCTGAGGAACTCCTGAATATACAGTGGCTTTGGTTGATCGGAAGCCATCCACCACTACTAGCATGGTCCTTTGTGTTTTTAATGTCATCAAATTCAGTCTTCCTGTTTTGTTGTCTACTCTGTGTCTAAGTCTAAGTTTAAGTGTGAACTATTATTGACTAATATTTACTGTCGTGTGTTTTATTTTAATTTTAAATTTATTAACTAATAATAAAATGATATTGTTGGCCAAAGCCAAGGGCTAAACTACTTTAAGTTAAGAACTAATAAATAAGATTTAGAACGTTGTACATATGCCCCAGTACTTGGTTGCAGCAACGTAGTCTATCAGAATCAGAACGGGTTTAGTTTATTTTAGAAAGTAAGTAGTTGGCATATAAAATAGATTTTAGATACTACTACAGTCAGCTACTGACATACTCAAATTGGTCAAACTAGTTTAAGTTTAATTATTAGATTACCAGTTTATCAGTTCAGTATAAGTATAGTATTTTAAAGTATTTTAAGGCACGTATTTTAATTATGACTAATAATAATTAACCATTAACATTACTAACTAAGCAAGTTTACTACCTATAGACTATACTATAGATTAGACTACAGACTATACTATATACTAAGTATTTACTATAGTTACACTACAGTCTAGTATAGCGAAGTGAGTAGATAGACAGAGCTCCGAGTCAGAGCACTTATTATTTATTATACTATACTTGTGAACATGACTAATGACCCTAATTCTAGTAATTTGACAATGACTATCATTTTAAAATTGTGATGATGTAAAAGAAACTTACTTTAGTACATAAATTTTGTTTAATTGTTTTTCTTCCTATTCATTAACAAGTAGTCAATATCCAGGTACACCCCTTATTGCAAATAATTAATTGTGATTTATTTTGTTGATAGCTTTGGAGTACCATATTTTCTAGAGTAGTTTCCCCTTTAAAAAAAAATAATAAAGATATAGCGAAAGGTAAAAGCGTTAAAAAGATAACATTATGGAGGAAAAGAACACATTAAAATTTTCATTGTAACACAATAATATTTGTTTTTTAATCCCCCCCCACTACCACAATTTTAAAATATAATTTGTATCATTTTTCATATTTCTGTATTGCAGCACTCAGTGACATTCAGTCCATTAATTACGACAACAAAATAGGTCGGGCGAGGGGGTTTGGAAATGTTTGAGTTTGACAGTTGTTGACAAGGGGGAGAGAGGGGGTTTAGATTAGTTGACGTCAACAATCTGGTTTTCTATATTAAAATGTTAATATTAAAAATTGACTTGTTATTAAATTATTTAAAAAAATTAATACATTTAAATGAGTGTAAAGGGTCACATAATTTTTAGGCTTTTAACAATATAAGATTTATTTAACGTGTGTCTGTGCACTGCAGATGACTGGTCAGAATGTTAACACACTTTGTTAGTGCAAGAGAAGGTAAAATTTGTCCTCTCTTCACCTGTAGATTCTGTTGCAGGTATGGAGCAAGGTCAAGGTTCAAGTGTCATGTGTCGTCAAGATAAATGATATTGATAGAGTAGGAATACGATATTTTGAGAATTAGATGAATTTAAAGTGAGTAACAATAATAACATCACTGATTGAATGGATATTGCAAAATCTGTAACATCTATTTTGCATCCACAAGTCATGTTGAAAAAAGCATGTTCAACAGCACCGAAAATGCCCACTTGAGCATATGAAATTAGCACCTGCACCTCAACAAAAAAGGATTCAACCAATGCGAGTAGCTGCAAGGCGATAGATAGAGCTTATGGCAAATATTGCTCACATTAACAATGCTTCTATTTTAAGTGCTGAATGGTTAGATGAGGATGATGTTGCTTTATCTGGTATATCAGTGCCGCAAGACATATTAAAATGATCAATGAGCTGCTATACACTATGCCCATCAGGGGCGTCATTTCATTTTTTTTCAAGGGGGGGGGGGCAAAACCAAAACTTGGTCGGCTTGTTACGTTTTTTATTACTGGAGGCGCCACAGTAGACCTACAAAGCAATTTAAATAAAACTTGCAAATACATTTTATAAAGATATTAATAAGGCCTCATGCCTTTATTATTTACTGACTTTAACTTTGAGTAGTACTTATAGTGGCGTAGCTAGGGCTAGTCCACCCGAGGTTGGTCAAGATTTTTTTATACCCACTTTCCACGAAAAAAAAAAATTTCATAGCCGAAAATCCGCCGAAAAGCTGACCCTCCATATAAAAATACGTTTTCAGTTTTATTATGTTTCGTAATATTTACCATTCATTCCTTAATTTTAATACATTTTTAGGATCCCAAATAATTTTTCTCATCTATTCTATTGTTAGGCCTACTTATAAAAAAAAAAATATAAAAAAATGTTTAAGTTTAGGCTTGAAAAACATTGGCTAAAAATTGAGCTACATTGTCATTGACAATTGAGATTTTTTTAAACATAAGTTTTATTCCTATTTTTAATTGAAATTAATTTTTGTTTTTTTTCTTGTTTTGTACTGTCTGCCGAAGAAGGCTTCTAGCCCTAACGTCCGTTTCATAGTACAGTCTTTTTTTTTCTATCTAAAAAGCAGTACCAGTATTTATAAACATGATTATTTTTTTTAGTTGCTTCCCTTTATTTCATTTTTAATAGCCCTTTCTTAAACTCTTAAACCCCAAGAAAAGCACACAAAGATCTTTTCAATTTTTCTTCTTTTAACTTGGAAACTCAGTTCATGATATTTAAATTATTAATTAATTTTTCCATATACACATGATTATTTTCTTTCATATATATTTTAAAATTAAAATAATAAAATTTATATCAATAACATTAACAGCTTAAGCCGTAGAGAGTAAATAAAAGAAATCATAACAAACAACAATGGCGGACGGGTAAGATTTGTTAGAGATTAAGATAAGAAAAATCTGCTACTATCATTAATAATAAATGACTAAATAACACGTTGTAAAAAAAAATTATATAGATGGAATTGTAATGAGTAATTTTAATAGCTTGTAATAAATTATGGATTTTTCGCCTATTAATCATCACAACTGAAATAGTTGACACTCAGACTCAGTAGTCAGTTTAGTAGTGTCCGTATTATCAGTAGATTCTGAGTAGACTGAATAGACGGTCAATGACTTCCACAGAAGTGAAATGCTTTGACGTCATTTGCGTGTTTTTGTTAATTTTATGTTTTGGATTAACTCCAGGCAGTAATTTCAGTAATAGTTAACTAACTCTAAATTGTACAGCACTAACTTTTCTTTTTGATTCTTACAGCCCCCAGTTGTACCCAGACCATGACCATGCCTTAGCATAAACTAAACAATCTCTCCATTTTATTGTGGGTTTCTTTTTTCCAGATTTTTTCACATATAAGTTGGTATGTTAAATGTTGGTGTGAAGGTTGTTCACAAAAAGAATGAAATACGGGTGGGGGAGGGTATTTGAACTTAATTATATGTTCCGTTTTCAGCTAGGGATTAGGGGCCCAGAATTAATTTTTTTCTTATATGAGGTGTATAAATATAATTCTAAACAAAAGTTCCTGCATGGGTGAATGGATCTAGGACAAACTTAGTACACATACACTTGATTATCCATATTCATATGCCGGTACTGAAGGGTAATGAACTCATAATTTTAATTTTGCCTTAAACTAGCCCATATACCTGGCATTGCTTGGGATGGGATTCAGAAATGAACATTTCTTCAGCTCCTTAGCTCTTTAGCTAACATCAAAAGAAGAGCCTGTAAAAAAGCACATTTTATTCCCTAAAAACATTTATTAAAAACAATCTGAAGGCGATCCCATTTCCCACTGGGATCCTGATCCCCAGTGGGATCCCTTCCCGGTTGTGATCACTATCCCCAATATGGGATCCCAATTCCCCTTAGAATCTGATACAATGGGATCCCATTCCCCGATTGGGATCACAACCTCGGTGATCCCAAATCCCTGTAGCATATCATTCTTGGTGGGATCTTGACCCAGGGGATTCTGATCATGATGGTATCCCATTTCCCGGGGGGAAGCCAACACGCTGGGATCCCGTCTCCTTGATGGGTTCCCTTTCCCCAATGTGATTATGTTTCCTGATGGGATCCTGTTTATCGGTGGGATTCCTGTTCCCAGTGGAGTCCTGTTCACAGATGGGATCCTGTTCACCAATGGGATCCCATTTTCCAGATAAGATCACGTTTCCTGATGGGATCAAGTTTTCTTTTGGATCCTGTTGCCGGTGGGATCCCATTCATGATCTGTATATTTTGGAATGTAATGGGAGAGAATTCCATTGTTTAGGGTGCAAAAAGAGAAAGAGCGTTCACCATATGTTATAGTATGAAAAACTGCAAAAGGTTCAAAACTCTGCTGCTAGAATAGTTCTAAAGGCAAAAAAGAACATGATCACATCACTCCACTACTCTACTCACTTCATAGGCTCCCTTTACAAGCACTCATTTGATTACAAACTGTCTGTTCTTTGTCACAACTCTTTCTCTGATTCCTTTCTAACCGAACTTCTTTCTGTCTATTCACCCTTTGACAGCTTCATTCCTCCGCAGACACACATATTCTTTCTGTTCATACGATGCATGATCTTTCTGTTTCTGCACCCCCAAACACATTCGGGATGGGGTACCACGCTATATAAGACCACTGTATTTTATTATCTATTCTCTGTTGTGATAATGTTACCAAGTTGGATCACGTTTTATTAGTTGGATTCTGTGACCCAGTGATATTATGAAGGGTATGTTACCAATTGGGGTTAAGATCCATCAAAACACTTAGAAGTGAATGCCATAATCCAATCGTTCAACTTCATTTCTGTATATAGCTTAGGCCATAATAGAGGACACATAATATTGGATAATGTTATTGGTGGACTCACTGTTACCCGAACTGACTCACACAGACGCTTGTATAAGGTGGTTAGCTACACGAGATTTACTTTAAAAAAAGTATTCTGTGCAGCAGTTGTGGTCAACCATGTCCCATAAATGCACATGCTAGCAGTACGGACGGCAAGAGGTAGCACTGGGCAACATGTAAAACTTAATGCGATGATCCATTTTTTGCAGGCAGCCACCTAACTATGAAGGAACTTATAATAATGAGCTACTGTTGGTAATATGAAATGCCACAAATTGTAATAAATCACAAGACATTAGTTGCAACAAACAACAATCTTGTAGATTGGCGCAACTTTATGACAGAAGAATGGGCCATGTGGCTCCAAAATAATCCAGATCAAATTGGAAGCATTGACAATAATGGACTACCAGAAGTGGTGGAAATTGATGAGTCTAAATATTTCATCATAAATATCTCAGAGACCAGTGTTTTTACAGCTTTGAATGCGGCATGGATAAATGCTATCTAATAAAGGTTCCCGACTGCACAGCTGCTACCCTAGAGCTTTTGATTCAAAGATATATCCTCCCAGGAACACATCTGATGGCTGGGCAGAATATGCACGTATTGACCGCATTGCCAATGACATGTACACGCTCTACAATGTTGTCCATCAAAGGAACTTCGTCGATCCTTCTTATAGTAGCAATGTTCACACGGAAAATGTGGACAAATAATTTGTCATGAATTAATATCAATGTCTCCAATGACATGATATAATGACTGTTGTTTATTTACGTTCTCCATTTTAATTATTTCTGATACAATAACTATTGTTTTATTTACTTTCTCCAATATTTCTAATATTATAAATGTTGTTTTATTAACATATTCAAATGACATTATATATTTCTGATATAATAACTGTTGTTTTATTTTCTCTAAACATCGATGAATATTGTAATATAAATTTAATTTCTTGTTTCGTTTTTGTGAACATCACTTCAGTTTGAAAATTGCATTTAGCATACCAACTTATATGTGAAAAATCTGGCATGTGGGGTGAAAAATAAAAACACAACAAATTGGAGAGACCGTTTACGCCACCGGTCTGTAAAAATCAAAGAAAAAGAAGTTAAAATGCTGTACAATTCAGTGTTAGTTAACTATTACTGCCTGGACAAAATTTAATAAAGAATACACATAATTTTACTCACGAAAATAAAAAATTTGATCACAACTAATATACGCACTGAACTGCACTTATACCAAAAAACAACACTTTTTGTCAACTTTTTTTTAATGACACATTGCACGGTTGAGTTGTCTCTGTCAGTGTAGCTCAGGTATGACAATTTCAACAATAAAAAATCTGTCTGATGCTATCCGACAACCTCAACATAATACTTACACTTATAGTAATAGTAATTGTCTAATACATCATGACCATGAAAATCTAGCCTACTACTACTTATTATATCATATCTGGTTGACTCTTTTGATTAGACCATTTAAACTAAACAAAGATAAGTTCCTATTCACATGGCACTCACACAAAAATTGATGTTAAGAGAAGGATCTTTTAGTTTTAGTTTTCTCCTGTCGCCAGAGACTGCTGATGTTATTTTTACATTAATTAAGTTACATAGGACGAAAAATAGCTTTATTCAGTAGTATTCATCCAACCTACAATAAATGTTGTAAGTAAGGATTGCAGGTTTCAAAAATATAAATAATTTCAAAGCAATGGAAAATACAAAAACTGATTTGCCCCAATTGTTATGTTTTTCATTTCATTTACCAGGGAAAATAATTCAAACAAGAGTGACAACAGCTGGGAAAACTGGCTGGGAGGATGGGTCCAGACAGCAAAGGAAAAGGTGAAGACAATCTGTTACATATTGTTGCATTCATTTGATAATTGTTTACATTTCCTAAGTTTTGTGTGTCCTTTAAGCTTATAGAGATTATTAATGCATTTGACTCATTTGTAATGCTGGAAACAGTGGTTTAGGTTAACTTGCTGGACTATTGTTATATTTTTACATAAATAAATATTGCTTTCTCCAAGTGATTTACAAAATAATTTATTTAATAAAGACTAAAATGCTTCAATCTTAGTCTTCAAACAATTATTCTACAAAAGAAAAAAACTTTTCATTTGGTGACAAAAAAAGAGTAAATATGTTTGTAAGTTATTTTTTGTGTAAATTCTTTTTGAAGATCATCAATAATTACTTTAAATATATTAGAAGATGCACACACCTAATCATTAGATTTTATTTCATATCTACAGTCAAGTTCTGCTTTAGAGTTTGTGAAAAAAGATCTGGCAGAATTTACATGCACCATGCAAAAAGAAACAGAAAAGGCTGTCGAGTTGACCAAGGACTCACTCAATGTAACATTGTGTTACTCATTTTTACTTTCTTTCTTTGTTCTCTATAAGTTTAATTAACTAATTATAAAAAGTGTTGGAAAAAGTGTTGTAAAAACCAAACAGGAAAAAAGACATGGCAGCTAGGTAAAATTGTGCTCAAATCACTTCCTTTACACGTTACTTAACTTTGCTTCTGTCTGTAGGATATCTGTATATATATATTATGTAAATTTAATTTATACTTATTTGCCTTTTTGTTGTACTGATGAAGGCATGTGCCAAAACATATTCTGTAAAATTATCATTAAAGCTTACCTTATATTGTTATATTGACACAAATTGTTGTTGTCTAATTTCTCTATAAGTTGTGGAATAGTCCATGTTGAAATTGAAATAATTTTACAAGAATAATTTGCAATCTCATTAAAAAAATATTGTATTTTGACATATTTTTTTTTTTTTTGCTGACAGCGAGAGAAAACCACTCAAGCCACTAACAAGGTAAAAGCGGGCTTGTCTTCATTTTTAGACAATATTTCTAAAGTGCTGGTGATTCCCCCAGATGATAATTATATTCAGATGAAGGTGGCAGCTGATGGCAGTGGACTGTATGATAGAGGGAAGGTAAGTTGAAAATATGTTATTGGCCATGCTTGGGTTTTTTTGTAAGGTCATTTTTAACTTCGGATGGTGTCTCAGTCAGGTAACAAGATGTAGTTCTGCTCTATCTTGTCATAATGTTCAAGTTATTATGTGAGTGAACGAAGGTATTTTTTCCTTTTATATTTTTCCTTTAATCATGAACTTAACTCAGCCACGTATGAACATGACTAAGTGATGATTAAAAACCTTGGCATAAATTAAAATCTTTGTGCATTTTTTGAGAGAGACACTGAGTATTTTTGCTTGGAGAGAAACACAAATATTTGTTGTTATGAGTGGATCTTAGTCATTTTGCAAGGAGATTCTTTTTAGACACATTTCTATTTCAAACACCAGTAACTACTTGTAGGCATTTTGTGGACTTTGTTTTGCAATCTGAACTTTTAACAGTCTTGTGATTATTTGACTTCACACTACACATCAGCCTTGTTGGGGCTAGGAGACAGCAACAGAATTCTAGAATCTTACATTGTTTTCGGTGGCATTACAAAGGGGACCTACTCTTAGATAATGTACTACCTGTTTTAACATTAGCAATTCACATTGCAGTATGTCAAGGTTGACATAGGATTTTAATTTAAAGCTTTAAAAATATCTTCTTAGTTTGCATTTATTTTACTTCATATAGAAAATGATATTATACCATCATTTGCCTTAAGTTTTAATGAAATTTAATCATATTTCTTTCCTCTTGCTGGTTTCTAAAGCTTGAATGGAACTTCCACTTAAAATTTTCTTGCTTTCAGAAGTCAGTTATATTTTAATTCAAAATTAAAAAAAAAAAACTAATATAAAATTAAGATTCTAACTGCTCTTATGGCATGAACAATTTTTTGTTAGTTTTCTTATCTTTTTCCATAATATATTTGTTAATATGAGAGTTATGCTACATAAAATATTGCAGTGTTTTTTTTAAAGCTTTAAACTTGGATCTTATTTACTATCATCACAGGCTCGCTTGCATGCACTTCAGCTGGATGCAAGCACCTACATGGACACTCCCCATGGCCCACCAGAACAATATAGCATGTGGCTGGAAAGTTTTAACATGGACCAACATAAAGGAGAAATATCAGAGCTGTTAGTTTCAAAGGTGGAAGTTCGAGCTCTCTACACTAAATTGGTAAGTTTTAACAGCCGATTGACTTTCTATCTTTCAAACTATATAATTCTAACATTTGATTTTGATAAAAATAAAAATTAATCAGCCTGTCATGGCTGTAAATCTCAAAAATTTATTTTTAAGAAAAGCGAGGATCATTTTAATGCTATTTTCATGAACTGTTTGATATATGGTATTAAAAACTATAAGTGTCAAAATTATATGGACATTATATGTAACAAAAAAAATTATAAGGACAAAAATAAATGTTTTTATGTTCTTAAGTATTTTCTTAAAAATATTCTTAACTTACATCTTTGATATTTGTCTCTTTCTAAAATTTAATTTTAAAAACGAGCGTGTTTTACTTTTATTTATAGGATTCTGTTTTATTAAATAAACATACTAGAAAAGTCAGCCTTCAGGATCAGAGATAAGCCATCTGAACTTTAAAACTTTTGTGGTTAAACAAGCTTTTACAGTCACATTGAAAATGGTGTCATTGGTTTGAAATCATTTAGTATTTAATCTTTATTCTAGGTTCCCAGTGATGTCTCCCATGCTGAGTTTTGGCAGAGATATTTCTACCGTGTTCATCAACTACAATGTGATGAGGCTAGGAAGCAGGCATTGATGAAAAGGGCAGAACAGACCAAAGGAGATTCATTCAGTTGGGACGGTACTGACTTGACCAAATTATTATTGACCTTCTGTCATTGAAAATTTACTATATTTTTCTGTCTCTATCAGCACTCTGGCATAAATTTTGAGTTGGTTCTAATCTTTGATTAAACCAGGTATTTACAGTGAACTCTGAAAGAGTTTAATTATTGATATTTCTTGGAACAAGCGGGGGACGGTCTTAATAGATTGAAGTAAAGCAATGCATCCTTCTTTTGTTAGCTACTAGGAACTGTTTAGGTCTTCCAAAAATGTATGCTTCAAGTTTGGGGATTATTTGTTTCATAATGCATGGTAAGAAGTTAAGATTTTCATTGAAGAAAAAATATATTCTTATATCTTGAGTTTTTATTCCCATTTCTTTTTGTTTGGCCAGATGATGAGGAAGACTGGAGTGGTGGTGAGGATAACCAAAGTGACTGGGAGAAAATGCCTCGCCAAACCCAGTCATGTGCAGCATCAAAGTCAAAAAGTGTAGACTCTGTCCAAACTGCGCCACATACATCAACCCCGTCTCAAAATGACTTACAAGACAGTTCTAAAGATACTGTCCTAAGTAACCCATTGGACATAACAAATGTTGCTGACACAAAAACAGATCTTCTGATTGCAGAGAATAAAACAGATCAAGACAAAGGCAAACATCAAGCTATCGTCAGTCTTTCTGAGACAGTAGTAAGCAAACCAGAAGCTGTTGATATAAAATCTGTAACAGTTGCAAATGATTTTGATGTGTCTGAACAGTGTAGCAGCCTGACTATGCTACAACAGCCCTCTGCTGAGTTGTGGAGTTTACATATACCCGATGATGGAGTTCAGGGTGATCTCCCAGACCAGGATGTTGTGTCTGAAGCTGTTACTCCAGAAGGGGTTTCCGGGGTCACTGAGGTGGTTGTCAAGAGTGACAACGTTAAACCCCCAGTTGATACAGAAAAGCATCACAGTATTGTAACTGTCCAAGAGCCTACGCATGATGACTGTGTTGGAGTTCAGGGTGATCGTCCAGACCAGGATGTTATGTCTCAAGCTGCTACTCCACAAGGGGTTCCCGAGGCCACTGAGGCGGTTGTCAAGAGCGACAACATTCAACCCCTAGTTGACACTGAGAAACAACACATTGTTGTAACTGTTCACGAGCCTACGCAGGATGACTTTGGTGACAAATTGTCAGCTTCTTTATCCAAAGGACAAACTGAAAATGCCACATCATTGCCTGTCGAACCAGAAACTCCATGTCAGCCAGCTCAGTCAACACTTCAGGAAAAAATTGCCAATGATGTTACCAGTGTTTTCAACAAAGCATCAGATCTTCAGCTGCTTCCGCAATCCCCCGAACTCGCAATAGATACTGCATCCACTGAAACCAGTGTCTTCTCAGCAGCTGAACTGGTTCTTGAAAATATCAGTGAGACACCAGAAGCAGAAGAAATTTCACAGCAACCTTCAGAATCTACTCCAGGCATTGCTGCCATGCAATCCACTCAACCACAAAATTTCAGTACCATCCCACAAATCATCCATTCTGTTGAAAATGCTGATGCCGACGCCGAACATGGCGCTCTGGTCCAAGATGTTGAAAACAGCGGTGACATGAAGGAGATTGGGATGACGATTAAGGGAGACATGATTGTGGTTGGAGAGAGAGTCAGTCCAACATCTTCAGATCTCAGTGATACAAAAGGTTAATTATTCATTTAATCTCTTGCTTACTCCTTTCAATTTGCAAGTCATGCATTATAGCTCAAGGGTACATATATATTTGGGGTTGAAATTCAATGTTAAGGTGTTACAACAGATTAAGAATTCCTCATCTGGTTGAGTTAAAGCTTAAGATGTTTCTGGTAGATCTATAGCATTGATCCAGATCAACCCAGAACATTGTAATGAACTGTTTAACAATGAAACCGACTTACCATGGTAAGGGATCATATTTTAGTCATCTTTGAATTATCACAACTATTTCATTAGGTTGTTAAACTTATTTCTAACTATGGCAGATATATTTTTTCACATTTTGGTGATCATTATTTTTTTTGTACAATTGTTTATATAATTTCTCTGCAGTGGAAAAAAGTGAGTGATTAATCTAATTTTTTAAATTATGTTTTTGTTTTGTTATAAAGCTAAATTTTAATTATTTTTTTCCCTCTTTATCATCAAAAATAATCTGCAACTGGATGTCCAATGATCCACTTGTTACTCTTTGTGAAATACGTGACATTTTTGGGTCTGCATTGGTGATGGCTTTAACTTTTTGTGTGAAAAACTAAATGCCCTTTGCGTTACCTCTTTTGATCCCGGCTTTAATGTTTGAATTTTTTTTTCCTGACCTTATCAATCTTATCAATTATAATTTGAATTTTGGTTTGTAATTGAACATTCTCTGCTTTTAAAAAAAATATAAATTGGATCCTTTTGATTAATGTTAAATAAAATATAATTAATTAATTTGTACATGCTGTAATTTACTTTTTATTGAAATTAACCCTTACTTTTGCCCTGATCTGTTAAAAATAATTATTGTTTTAATTATCTATAACTTAATTATAACTAAATTTGAATCTTAATTATTATTTTATTTTATTTTTTTTGTTGAAAAATATTTAAATGTTGATTATTGCTGATCTGAAAATTTAATGTTTATGTTACCTTATTTACCAAATGATTAACTTATAAAACAAAACAAATGTATACACATAAAACAGATGATGAAATAGATTATATGTCCTTATGTACCCCTAACCAGAAATTTTTACACCTACTTCCAGAGATAGGTCAAGAAGATGACTGGGAACAAGATTTTGACATTGAAGTCACTGAGGAAGACTTGAAGGCTGCAGATGACATTGCTAAGAGGCTTAGTGAAAATTTAAATGTTGATGTAAGAAAAAAAATTTGTTTCAATAATGGTTTCTTTTAAGCCATTTCCTTGTCTATAAATTATAATCGGTGATAAAAGGCAATTTAATTGACACTCTGATAACTGATTAAAATTAAAAGGCAGAACTTAATTTTAGCCATCTTTTGTACAGAGTTACACAAGGTCGGGCGGGTTTTCTTGGCCCTCAATTTTGTTTGTATATAGAATTCTTTAAAAAGGTTACTTTGTAAAAATAGCATTTGCAAGTTTAAGTTTTTGTAAACAATTCTCCATTTCACAAATCTTTATGTGAATATACTCTAGAAATAAATTCTTCTATTTCAAGAATACCATTAATTAATTTATGCAGTTTCCTTTTAAGTGAGAACTTAACAAATGTTGAATTGTTTTGTTGTATTTAATTTCAGGATGACTGGGAAAACTGGGAGTAAAGGATGCAGATGACTTGTAAAAAAAAAATCTTTTTGGTGCAGTTTGAGGGAAATATTTGACATTCAGTGTTCCCATCATTCAATTTGTTCTTCTGTGAGATGAAAACAAAAGGTTTCTTGCAGAATGTACTTCAGAGTAATACAAATGAATACGATGAAACGATTCCAGAATATTATTTCATATTATGTGCATTATTTCTCTTTTCATTGTGAAATTTTCAAAAAAACTTTTCAAGTTACTGCATGTGATAAATTTAACTCTTTGTATTAAAGGCCTGTCTTTAGTTTCACCCCAAAGCTCTGATACGTATAAAACATAATATTTTGTTTTAGGTGTATTCCTACATGGGCTGCAGTGCAACAGGGATGTATTCTTTGCATCAGCTAGTTTATTAGTAATGATCTGGTTACTATTTTGTTGCGAAAATTGTTTGTGGGGAGGGGTGGTGTTTGAAAATGTTTAAATCTCAATGCCAATATTATTATTATTATTTGAATGCCTTATTTTTTTGTATGATAGTTACACATGAGCAAGTTTCTTAATTTTTAAGAAAATTATATAGAAATGGAAGAAAGAGACTTGACAACACCCTCACATTGAAAGAAGTTGCTGTAAAAAACAATTTAATTTATGCTAAATAAACTGAATACTTCATATAAATTTGACTAGATTTTATGATCAAAAACAGTTAATTTTTGTATGTACCAGTACCTGTACAGAAGTTTTGACTTTTATGGTTTAAAGCTAAAAACTTAATATGGCTGTGACCTTTTCTTTCACTTTGAATTTATTTTCAACTGGGCATTACTTAATTTTTACAGTGGCTTGAGTAAAATGATTAATTTAAGAGGATACCATCAGTTGTTCTGGTTAGAAAATTATAGTTGGGGGAAAATAAAAAAGTTAAAGACCACTAAAGGGTTCCACCAATCCCTTTTCTGTGTTTAAAGTTACCCTTTATGAGAAGTGTAATCAATGACTGCAAAAATGATGTTACTTTTGACACAAAAAATTAGCACATTTCAATAACAGGGCAGCCAGTTTAAAATGGCAAGTCAATATTTTCTCATGACTCATTTGTGCAAGATTGAACCGCTTGGGTCTGACTTTAAAGATTTGTTTAGCATATATCCCCATTTAAAAAGGGATAGTTGCTGAATTTCCTCTTTTTTTTCTGATGGGATGGCACACAAACATTTATTTTTAAATAAATTAATATGAAGGAAATTGATTTTATCAATGAAAGTGTTTACCTGTCATGATTATACCACCTTCTTACACTGAATATTCTTTATTAGCTAGCTGTAAGTTATTGTATGAACATAGTCTTGTCCAGTGTCAACTAATGAAATAATATTTGTAATGAGAATACAAATTTTTTCATATAAATTCAAAAATTGTTCCAACCTCATTACCAACTGGCAAAGTGCATGTTTTTAATTTTTTAAAAAATGAAAGCAGAAAGAGTTACTTGGCCAAGGTGTACTGAATTGTGTTAAAAACTATGCTTACAAAATTCACTTGAATGGTCTAATTTTGAACATTTGGCTCAGTTATAGGGAGATTTTTAAAAAATTCTATAATTCTGTTAGTCAGTTATGGATACTATACTGTTTTCAAACAGTCTAGACCTGTTGCATTATATATACACACCAAGCCTATTTGTTATTTTAAGTGTCTTTCCAGTTGATATAAATATTTTTTATGCTAATCTTCAATTTCATTGGAAACCCTTAAGGCACAAAATGTGTTTTACTGTAACCCAGACATATTATTATTTAACTAATACAATATATTTAGCTAGAGATTGTCGTATTTATGGGTTACAGAAACTAATGGGCTTTGGGATTTAACATTAATAGGTTTACTTCATTTTGTCCCCTCATTTTTTTAACCGCATTATTTCATGTACATTAAAAAAAAAACATCAATAACTAATTGCTGTGTTCATTACCTTGCATATTTTGTTCTTATATGAAATGACAACTTTTTGAATCTTCAAAGTTGTTCTAAGTTATGATATACTCCACATCAAGCTTTGATATACCAATGCTCCTTGATTTCACTGGGATACATTCTGATGTCTGGTAACTATTTCTGTAATGGTATCAAATATGCATTCTTTGTAAGGTGTCAAGTGCCAACATCTTGTAAGCATTACTATTATTATTTTATACATACTACAAAATAAATGCCCTCTAACTTTCAAGAGGCATGATGGTATGCTCAAGTCTTTTTTTTTTTAAATGACATCTTTATATTATTAAGGTGGACCAATAAATGATCTGTCAAATACTGCAATATTCTATGAAGTGAATGAGCATGATATACTAATCCAGGCATGACTACACTTGGTTACTATAACCTCCTTACAATCTGGTCCTTTATCTTTGTTTTTTTTTTTCACTAATAATCTACAGAACCAAAATATGATTTAAATATTTAAGGAATTTAAAAAAAAAATCTGTTCTGGATAATTGGGCATCCTCATAATATAATAATTTTTGCCATACACATATGGAGTCAACCCTAAGAGAGGCAAATGTAAACAACCAGCATACAATAAATGGAAACTTGTACATAAATAATCATAAATACATGAAAACAAAAGTTTAAAACTGGCCTTGATGTTCGGTCTTAAATGTGAGAACTTCTGTTGCTATTGATGTTCTTTTTTTAATGATGAAACTGTTCATGATGTAATTATTATTGGGGAATTAATTCCAAAATACATTTCTTAAAAACACATTATTTTGTTTCATTTATGTGTTATTTTATTTATTTTTTTAAATATAAAAAGTTAAGTAAACATTTACAAAAAATGTAGATATTTATAAAATTGTAACATGTATAAAGGTCAACAAATATTTTTAAAAATTGTATAAAACGTTAGTCAATAATAATACCCTGTATTAATTATACACAAATAAAATACATCTTTTATAAACAGATGTAATTAGTAAAATATTTAAAATAATTGAGAACTTGTAAAAAAAAATTGTTCTTCTTAAATGACTAGGCTGCATGGCAGCAGAATTGATGAATATTTCACACTCACAAAGTTAAAACCTCATATGTTAAAGATGCATGATATTTTTTCTTAAAAACTTGTCATTAAGAAATGATTAATCTCATAATTTAGTTGATAAAATTATCATCCTATAAAGCTGTTAACTCCAAGCTTTCCCATTTAAGATCAGGGCAATTATCATCGCTGTAACTCTCTCAATGCTTAAGTAGGGTTATTTAAATTTAAAAAAAAAATCTATTTACGATCTACCCTGTACAAATATTTTCAAAATTGCATTAGTGGAAAGTACATTGTCTGTCACATGATCTAACCAAATGTTTATAAAGTTCATTTTAAATTATCTATTTGATTTAAAATTTGTCTATCTCTTATAAAATTTGGTATACTTGATTTATGTGTTAAGAGGTTTACAGAGACAACACTGACAATCAATGTACAAAAACTGCTTCTAAACAAATATGTTATTTTACATTGTTTTCAATTTAGTAACATACATGATTAATGATCTGGTTCTGAAAAAAAAAAATGTGATTTACACAAAAAAATTGCAGGTAAAATTTATATTTTGTAATAGTTTGGACCCCTTTCAATAGTTTATCAACAAAAACAGGTTTTAAAACATTGTACCAGTGGACATTCATTGGATCACTCTTCATCTTATAACATTTATATAACAAAATATGACTTAAGTCTTTACAGTAAAGATATGTATACTTGAAACAAAGTTTGTAAAAAGTGAGCAATCCAGACGTAATAAAACAAATATGGTTGTTAGAAATCAAGACATATGAAAATATTCAAGTTATTGTTAAGGCAATAGGGTTTTCATCAATAAATTCAACAAGAAGTGTAAAATGATTATCTACAAAATATAGTATACATTTTTAACAAAAAAAAAATACAAGTCAAAGTGCTGTGAATACATATTTTTAGCACTGGGTTGTGGGTGTGATCAAGATATTTCCCAAGTTCTCTAACATGGATACAAGAGAGTTTTAGTCACAGATCTAAAAGATGATACATTTTGAGCGCTTGCAACCTTTATAGTAATCACTCAAATAAAATCTTTTTATTCAGAACTTCAATAAATTCTGAAGTTGCCCATCAATTTACATACAATGAAACATATATTAGTTTTATTTTTATAATGGAGAAATACTTGACAATAGCAGAGTCTTTGTTGGGAGAACTATCTTTCAGGTCTATATTGTTTTGTTGGTGTTCTTGGTTGTTTGCTTTGGTGTGCTCCCTTTGATAACGATCGATCTGACTTTTGCACTGGTGGCCTCGACCTCACTCTTTCAAGCTTATCTGGGCACGGATGGGATTCAAACATTAGCTTTTGTTTCACAGGATCTCTAGAACAGCTTCTCAGTTCTTCTTGACTTAATGATAACTTTGCCTGCCTGGGAGATTCCTCTGGAGAAAGTGGGAGGTTGGGTCCCCCAAAATGTACACTTTTTTTGGTGTTTCTTTTCGTGGGGCTGCCCATTTCAGCAGTAATACGGGATGATTTTCCAGGCTGTTGTTGGAGTCGCTGCCAAGAGCTAAAAGACAAGTTTGATTCAGGTGCCAATTTTGGAGATGACGACACTTCAAGAAATACACTAGAGCATTTTTCACTATAGGAAGGGCTGGAAAGTTCCACAGAAAACTTGGGAGAGTTGTCCAGCCGTTGCAATGGTTGGCGATGACTATGGATCAACAGTTGCGGCTGAGAGTGATGTTTCTTTGGTTTTGGATGATAGCACTGGTTTAAGGAGGTGGTTTCTAAAGCCTCGTTGAAATACTCCGCTACATGCTGTGCTGACTGTTGTAACTCATCATCGGTTAAGGTGTCCACACTGTGAGGGTGACCATAACTTCTGGGCCTCTCTTCCCTACCTCTAGGTTTGCATGGGTCACTGCTTCTATATGTTGGTGGATTATAATGAAGACTTGGTTGAGAATTATTGGAAAGCAGTTTTACAGATCTAGGAACTTGCCTTGAATGGTTAATACTGAACATATCTGAGTCGCCTGGGGTCTCAAATCTAGAATTTGTGGTTACATGCGGAATTCTCAAATTTTGTGGACATGTTTTGTCTTTTATGTCAAATTTCCTCTGCTTAAAATTTGGCCTCACGCCCTCACCAAGTGTATCATGAGAAATGTCCAGACTGTTTGAGTGTCTCATTCTGTGTTCTGGATTCATCTGAAGCATGCTGACCTCTGGATTACGGCTCCCATAAAGTGGAGGACAATACTGACCAGCAACATAGCCACTTTGCTCAGACCCTGAGTCAGAATCTATGTATGATGAATCAGCTTTATGCTGCCATGGGGACTCTACAGATGGGACATCAGAAAAAAAAACATTTAATTTCTTTGTTGAAGACACTGAAGCCCTCAAATTGATTTTATTTGGGGTCTCATGGATTTGTAGTGAGGATCTTGGTGACTTCAGTAGTGAAACACCTACAGTGTCTCCGTTTGTCTTGAGTCTATGAATGGGGAAGTCTTTCTTGCTGTCATAAGCTGTATGTTTCTTGGCACTTATTTCTGTTGAGTGTGTTCTACTTTCATTGCAAATTTGAGGTTGACAAAATTCTTTTGTGTGTGTGTTACTTGACGTTTGTGCAAGCTTGTTTGAGATAGAAGAATGATTGGAACTATTTTGAAATGATTTATGTGAGGATGGGCTACCCTGACCGTAAGAATCCATGATGAACTTTAGTGCCAGGCTGCGGGGAATGATAACTGCTGGTTCCCCAGCAACTGCATGGACATGTGGATAGTCCTGACCCAGTTTATCCAACATTTGCGGTGAAAGTTCCAATAATTTAAAAGCATTGGGTGACAGATCTGATTCACATTTCTTAACACTCATTAAATGGTTCATTTTGGACGCAGAGCTGGCGGGCGAGGACTCTGAGCTGTCATGAAAGAGCGAAGATGCACTGCGGCTCTTCCCATCAGCACTAAGGCGATTAGAGAATGGGCTTTGCTCTGGAGAGGTTTCTCTGCTGATTCTAAGATCTTCCATTGTTAAAGCTAAACCTTCTCTTTCAAGGTTATTAGAATCAATCGATGAGCTTCCCCCAGCATAGCTTTGTAATGACTGTGCCATGACTGATGCAAGTTCTTGGTCTGTAAAAGGAGAATTACCCTTTTCAGTCAGGTTATTATCAATGCTCTGTGAAGGATCTCGAGGTGAATCAGTTGTTATAAATTGATTGGTTTGGAAATCATTTTTCAGCAATTTAAGGTAAGATGTTGTTTCTTTGATTCCTAATTTGGTGGCAGTTAGTGTTGAATCTTCTGGTTGAGAACTAAAACTTGGTCTAGAGATATCCTTATGGCTCTTACTAGAATCAGCCAATGAAGTATGGTCATTTTCTAAGTCTGAAAGACCTAGAGGTAACTGAGCTGCAGCAGAAGTCATTGAAGCCTTCTCAAAACTAACATTGCTAAAATTTGAGCTTTGGTCCTGGTCTAAGACCTCTAATATATCAGGCAATGAGATAATGGTATCCTTTTGTAAAGCATTCAAACTAGAAGTGCCATATTTTGATGTCTCTTTTTCTTTATAACTGGCTCCTGAGTCTATAAATGCTGTGTTGTGAGTAACAGACTCTGCATTGTGTATTGAACTGAGGCTGTCTTCTGGTCCAGACATTATTCCAGAATTCCAGGAAGACGTGGATTGGCTCTTTCTTGGAGTTCCCTCATTGGAAGACGAAGCATTTCCTGTAGCTGCAGCAATGGTCGCAGCAATAGTCGCTCTGAGGTGACTGTGAACATCCTTCCACAAGATGGATACATTTAGGGGTGACATGTTTTTGGGGTGGCTGTGGAACGAGCTGCTGTCACTGTTTCTTTGATCTGTTGAAGAAGAGTCGTCAAATCCCAGGACTGTAAAGTCTTCCAGAACTATCGATTGTCTCAAGAAGTCTGTAGACCTCATCCATGAACTGCGACTCTGTGCTGGACTTCTTGGAGGACAAATGCTGTTAAAATCTGAATCACTTTTACCAATATTCGCCGGGTCATTTTTAAGAGATGCTTTGAAATCTTTGTTGGTATCAGTTTTCTTCTGAGCTGGAGGCAGTAGGTTATGTTCACTCGAAGCTGAGTTATGAGAGTGGGCAGATTTCACAGATGGAGTGCGTTTAGGACCATCAAATGAGTCATCTGTTGAGACGAGTGAACTTGTGGAAGAGCTCCCAGATGAGGAGACCATGCCACTCTGCCATGCTTTTTGTAATACCATTTGTGATAGCCTGGAATTTTTGTCCGGGTGGTGTACAGTAACGGACAGTTGGTTGTCTGGCAAAGCCTGCTGGCTACTTGTGTTTGCATTCTGTGGGCCAACAGCATGGCTCATATCAATGACGGTTTCTTCCAGTATTGTCATTGGCCTTGGAGATTCTATACTAAAAATCTGTGGGCCAGTTCCTCCCTAAAAAAAAAAAAAAAAAAAAAGAGTTATTAAATGTTAAACAACAAAAAATATAATGGCTTTGAGCCAGACTTTAAAATCCCCCAGAGTTTCTTCCAGTTTTGTCATTGGCCTTGGAGATTCTATACAAAAAATCTGTGGGCCAGTTCCTCCCTGAAAAAAAAAAAAAAAAAGAGTTATTAAATGTTAAACAACAAAAAATATAATGGCTTTGAGCCAGACTTTAAAATCCCCCAGATGAATAACTCTTGAGCTTGGCATACCAGCTATTTTCAAATCCAATTCACGAGTGCCTAAACTGCAAACAGTAAAATCTATCTTAAAATGTTTTCTTAAAAACTAAACTATTATCTCAAAGCA